CATTTAAAATGTTGATTTTAGACCAAGCAGGGTGGCACATGCCTATAATTCCTACAGGAGGCAGAGGCAGGATTGCTGTAAATCTGAGGCCAACCTCAGTGAGTTCAAAGTCAGTTTGATCTGCATAATGAAACTTTGTCTCAAAAAAAAAAAAAAGTACCTTATTACAGCTACTAATAAAATCTGACACTGATATTGAATAATTTCAAAATTTTTGAATTTCATAATGTTTTTGTCCATTTCTTACCATGTACCATGTATCTCTTTTTAACCCTTTGCTCTTTTAGAGCTTATGACCCTAAGGAACAGTTTAATATGTTTACATATACAACTAAAGATATCAAGTACAGTAGTACACCTCACTCCTATCCTTGGGGGATATATTTAAAGAATCTGTATGGATCCCTGAAACCATGACTGAACAGAGTCCTATATATACAGTATTTTCCTATATATATACATATCATGCATAACAATGATAAAGCTTAATTTATAAATTAGGTAGAGTAAGAGATTAAAATTAGAGCAACTGTAGGGCTGGCCAAATAGCTCAGCAGATTGATCCCTTGGCCTGCAGTGCCAGGCCCCGCCCCTGGGGCACACTGAGACTGAGGATGAGACTGGGCATGGTGGCATGTGCCTGTAATCCCAGCACTTGGGAGGTTGTAAACAGGAGAATCACTACAAGTCGGATCTAGTAGTGAGACCCTGAACACCCTGTAGACCCTTCCCTAAAATACAGAAAAAAATAAAAAAATAAATTTAGAGCAACTGTAACAATATACTATAATAAAGTACGAACGTGCTCTTAAAATATTTTACTGTAGGGCTGGTGAGATGGCTCAGTGGTCTAAAGCACCTACTTAGAACAAACTAAGCCAAGCAAAGCACAGGGACCGCGGTTCAATCCCCCAGCACCACATGCCAGCCAGCCCCGCCCCCTGGTGGGCTGAGCTGGCCACACACACAAAACAAATAAAATTAAAAAAATATATATTTTACTGTATTGTAGATCTTAGCAGCGTCAGCATATAACCCTCTGCTTATTAAATCAAGAACTTTTACCCACATAGAAGTACTTTCAGGTTCTCTGGCATATCTGAATTGCTAATGCCTGTACTCCCACAGTTACTTTGAACATAAGCAGTTATAATACTGGTCTGATACATGAGAAGGCTACTGTGTGACTGGTTGGTAGGTAGGGTATAAAAGGTACACACTCCCTGGACAGAAGGATGACATACCTCAAGCGGGCAAAGGGAAACATTATGCTATTCAAAACAGCATGCAATTAAAAACCTTGAATAGTCTGTTTCTGGATTCTCTGGCCATAGTTAATTGAAAATGAGAAATGCAAACCGTTGGGAGAGGGGCTCTAGTGTAAGTTGTTTATAATCAGAGTATTATGTTCTGATTCAAAACCAAGAGGGGGAGAGGACAATGAGGACTCCAAAGGCCAACAGGGTCTTCACACCATGCCACACTATGACATTATAAAAAGGGGGAGGGGAACTGTAAGAATTTTATGTTCCAAGCTATGGTTCTCCATGTAGCAACAGGTCTTCATGAAGATCACAGTTAATAAATCCAATAGGAAGTTATTATTGTTATTATTGAGACACAATCTCACTATGCAGTTAAGGCTGGCTTTGAGCTCACTTTGTGGCCTGGACTGGTCTCGAATTCCCAATGATCTTCCTGCCTCAGCTTTGGGCATGCTGGGATTCTAGATGTGCAATCTTGTCCTGCCACATAGAAAATTATTAACCAAAAGCTTGAAGTTAATGTTCAAACTAAACAAAAACATTCAAAGTAAAGGCATTAATCATCTTGATTATTGCTAGGAGGAAACACCAAACTTGACACTGGGCTTTCTGTTATTTTGAAACATTTACTAACTGTCCCTTAACTAAAGGTCTTGGTCAAATGAAGTGTATTTCAGTGAGTTCAAGATTTCTGCCTTTGAAACTAAAAGGCTTATCTGTAAAGAGTATCGAAATTCTACATATTATTGACATTTTTCTAATCAAAACTATATCGATGGGGGCCAGGGAGATAGCTCAGTGGAATAAGTGCTTACCTAGCAAGTGCAAGATCCTGAGTTTGATCCCTGGTACCATCAAAAAAAACCAAAAACACAAACAAAAAACTATATCGACTCTGAGTTATTGTATTCTTAATTTGATAAAACCTCGAATTAATGACAGTTAAGTGTATTAACCCGTTCACTACATATTTTCAAAAGATCTTCTAGGCCAGGTGTGGTGGCACAGGCCTGTAATCCCAGCACTGAGGCTGAGGCCAGATGATTGCTGCAAGTTTCACACCAGCCTGGGCTTCAAAGTGAGCTCATGGCCAGCCAGACTTGCACAGTGAGATTCAGTCTCAAAAAGCACCCCCTCCAATCCGCCCGCAAGAAAAAACAATCTTTTGGCAGTAGGTCTAATAAATTTGGATTCAATAGCAACATTTCAATTAAGTATTTCAAGCATCATATGCCCCCACTTACTCAATAGGTAAACACTCACTATTGAATGACTCATTTAAATAGATAACGCTCCTATTTTAGCAAGCTGAGTCCTAACGAATATTTGGGACTTTAGCCTGTGGGTTTTTCCACCTATGTGACTCTTTTATTGGTTCACTTTTGTCAACGCTTATGGTAAAAATATTAACATTTACTGAATGCTTCTGTGGTAGCATTGAATTCTCAAAGTTGCCTAAAACTTGGCATAGTCAGATTCCCAAGTACCAGATGCAAAGTAAAACCCAGGTGTTCTGGTTCCAGAACACGCATTCTATACAGGTTAAGTACAATAAGCTGAAAACACTTGTATTTTTATTGTCACTGCTCTCTATTAAAAGACTTTTCAGTTCTAATTGTTTAAATCACTTCTAATTTTCTACAGCTGAATCAGTAACTACTTAATTACACTATCTTTAAGGTTAAAAGAAAAAAAAAAAAAAAACAACTTGGGTCTTCACCTGCACCGGACACCGTTCTACCCTCAAATTTTGCAATCCAGTCTTCCTGGAGTCTAAACTGCTGTCTCTTGGAGACCAACCACCCTGTGGGAGCTTTCCAGACGGAAAGCCTTAAAAAGCGACTGCAACCTGGGTAGTATTCTCTCTCTCCATCCTCCCTCAGAAAAACAACTGTATTAATGGGGTGCACTGAGGCCAAGACAGGCCGTTGGTTAAAGTCAAGGCAAAAAAAAGACCAAAAAGTATGAGAGCAGGCATGGGAGGACGCTCTTCCTTTTCTAAGTATTAAGGTATAAAGACGCTCAGAAAGGGGGGCTGAATAGCGGGGCACGCCCGCCTAAGGGTCCGGGTCCCTCTCCGCGGGAGCGGCGCATTCTCCAGCTCAGCACCCCTCTCAGACGTTTGGCCTCCTCCTCAACCTGCTTCCCAGGCCGCGAGCCCCACCGGCCCGGCGGCGAGGAGTAAAGGCCCAGCGGCCGGGCGGGAGGTCAGGAGGTGACCGGGCCGGCTGGAGGAGAGGGGGTGGGGAGCTAGCGTGGCGTAGGCCGGCGCACACAGCTCTGTCAAACCTCCAGCTCCCCGAGCCCTGTCGCCGCGGAGGGCCCCACAAGGCGAGGAGGGAAGTCCGCCGGAGCAGAGGGGAGAAAATTCAAAACGAGTCTACTCAACCTCGTCTTGGCTCCGAGGCCCCGAAATGGAGACCAGCACAATGCGCAGGCGCAGCTCTCTCGGCGGCCGGGTGAAGGCCCCTAATGTGAGACCCCTGCCGGCCACCGTCTCCCGTTTCCCTTTCGTTTCTTCTGCTTTTCGTATTTCCGCCCTTGCTCTTCCGGAATCTAAAACCTGGATCCTGAGGTGAGAACCTAGGGGCGGGAACTTGTCTGGGTCGGGTTCTGGTTGGGAATAGGCATCAAAAGCAAAGTCGGGCAAGGCTTTAGTCAGTCAAGGCTGAGGGCAAATGAAACTTAATAAGAGCTAGCTGGAATTAGGATTTAATGCAAAGAGCACCTGAGTGCGCATAGAAAAAAAAAAAAAAAAAAGACTACGATTCCCAGTGATGACAGCGTTTGAAATGTGCCGCTTTCTGAGCGTTGTAGTATTCAAATATGGAGCCGGAGTTGAAGTAGACCCACTATCCATAGCATTTTTAAAAATTTATTTTAGACGGGTTGGAGTGAGGCCTTTCTGTACCTTCCTAATCAATCCAAGGCCAAACGGATGGAAAAAATCCAAATGAGAATAAGGGACTATAATGCCTGCAAGATTGTGCTCTATTCATCGATGATTCCTGATCTAGGAATAGGTAGTTGATGTTCGCGGCCTGGGCCGTGTGGCCGGAAGCCTCGTGGTACCTCTGCAAGCAGACCCGTGCCGGCGAAGAACGGAAGCCAGGTTCACGCGCAGTTCTTGCTTATCTCTGGAGACTAATCTTGAGCTACCTCTTTTTGTAGTCGGAAGAGACGAGCGTTCCGTTCTCTTGAATACTACCCTAGGCGTTTTGGACGCGGGAAGGCTTGCGTGTAACTCCCCGCCATGGCTCAACTCCAGACACGCTTCTTCACAGACAACAAGAAGTAAGTGAGCGACGCAGCCTTCTGACCTCTTTCTCCTCTCTGGGGTCTTACACAAAGGCCTCTCCGTCGTGACCTTGTGGTTCCCGGTTGTCTTTTTCTGTCAGCGTCAGCCCCCGGCTGCACTTAGGGCGGACGCCTCTCTTGGTTGCCTCCTCAGCTATTTTCAGGGGTGCCTCTTGGGTGGTAGGCGGGTGCGTGGGTTCTCAGGGAACTTTCTCCCGTACTCCAACATCACCTCTTTTCTGCTGAGTTTTCTGGGCAGCATGTAATTAGATATGTGTTTGGAGGACGCTGAAGAGCTTCGAGTGTGTTTGCTGAATGATGCGTACTGTGTGCGCCATCTGAACAGTGAACAATAAGCCTGTCATTGCAGGCCAGTCCTCTGGTGGTGGTATTTAAATTTTCTGAAAGCACCCTTCGTTTCCTTAAGTAGGTGATAGAAGATGCTTTTCTAAACCAGGATGGCATATGCCTATCTAAATAGACTTGGTGGAACTGGATTTTTATGAAAATGTCAATTCGATTATAAATTTGAGTGTTTAGCGTGTGTACGTATTAAAATTTGTGATTTGATGGTTTGCTTTAAGTTGTAAAAAATAATATACCACTGTACTTTAATCCCAGAAATAAAGGGGTAAATGTGTGTTCTCCAAAAATAACAAAACTTAAATATTAAGGTTTTTTGCTTCCTCTTTTTAATTTTTTTTAATTTACATTTTTTAAAAATTTTTATTTATTTTGTGTGTGTGTGTGGCCAGCTCAGCCCACCAGGGGGCGGGGCTGGCTGGCATGTGGTGCTGGGGGATTGAACCACAGTCCCTGTGCTTTGCTTGGATTAGCCCGTTCCAAGTAGGTGCTTTAGACCACTGAGCCATCTCACCAGCCCCTCTTTTTAATTGATATGTTTTGATCAGTTTTAATGTTTGTGTCTACTTGTCCCCTCAAAGCCTCATGCAGTGATGGGGTGGCAAGCTTGTAGAGTTTGTGTTTAATTCATGATCCAATGCTGGGATTCTGGGCGTGAGTGCTACACCCGCACGGGGCAGATATCTGAACAAGGGAGGGAGAGAAGATTGCCCTCAGCTGCCACTGCTCCTCCCTTTTTGCTCTTGCTGTTTTCCATTGCCATGAACTGCTGCCCTCTGTCATGTATCACTGTGCTTTGGAGCCAGCTGAGTATAGACTGAAACTACAAACTGTGAGCTAAACCTTTCCTTCCTTAATTTTGAGTGTCAAGTATTTAGCCCCAGCAACTAGAGAATAGTAACAAATACAGTTAGTAAAATGGGGCTGTTACACGCAAATATAATTGACATAAACTATAATGGTGTGTGTGTGTGAGAGAGAGAGAGAGAGAGAGAGAGAGAGAGAGAACTATGTTACTTTCCTCCTCATATCTTACTAACCAAAGCATTAAGCTAAAAAAAGTAAACATTTTAATTTCTAGGTTTTATTACCTTGTGGAGAACTAAAATAACAACATAGTTTTAGGTGGTATTGATAATTACACCACCATTATTATTATTCAAAGAGTTGTTTGAGAACTAGCAGCATAATAGCATGCTAGTTTAAGATTGATCTTTTTGCTGGGTATGTAGCACATGCCTGTAATCCTAGCCCTTGGGATGTCAAGGCAGGAAAATCAAAATTTGAGGCCAGCCTGAGCTACTTAGTGAGACCCTGTCTCAAAAAATATTATAGTTACATAATAGTTTTGTAACTATCACAAATAGTCCATTTTAAAACATTTTTCATTACCCTTTAGAATTACCCTCCCATCCATTTAATAACCTATCCCTAAGCAATCACCAGTTATCTGTCTCTGTGGATGTGTCTATTCTGGACATTCTACATTAATGAAATTATAAATGGTGTTTTCTGACTTGCTTCTTTCACTTACTATGGTGTGTTAATGGTTCATCCGTGCAGTAGTTTTAGTATTTAATTCTTATGGCTATGTGAAATTCCATGGTTTGGATATACTACACTTTCCTATTGATGTCCAATTTTTAATCATTTAGGTTGTTTCTTCCCCTTTTAGCCATTATAAAAAGAGATTGTATGAATATTATTGTGGTGCAAGTTTTGGCATGAATATGTTTTTGTTTCTCTTCAACACATACTTAAAAGGATTTCCTGGGTCAGATTATATTACCTATCATTTTTATTATTGCCAAGTGATGATGCTGTGATGTTTCATTGTGGTTTCATTTGCATGCCTTCATTGATTTACAGTGAGCATCTTATGTGTCTCCTGGACAATTTTTTTTTTTTTTTTGCGGAACCAGGGATTGAACTCAGACCCATGCGCTTGCCAGGGAAGCGCTTATTCCACTGGGCCATTTCCCTGGCCCTCTTGGACATTTTTACATCTTCAAATCCTTTACCCGTTTTAAAAATCTGATTCTTTATTACTGAGTTGAAGATGTAAGTTCTTGATCAGATGTATGATCTGCATCAGATGCAGATATTTTCTCACATTCTTTGAGTCTCCTAATCTGCTTCCTGTGTTCTTATTCTTCTTTTGTTTTTTGGTAGCTGGGATGGAAGTCAGAACCTTGTGTTTGCCATGCAGATGCTTATGCCACTGAGCTCCCTCCCTAGCCCTTGTGTTCTTCTAATAGTCTCCATTGCACAGGCAGAAAGATCTGACTAAATAAACTTTGGGTGATTTTATTCCTTAACTTGGACTGTCTATAGAAAGAAGTAAAACTATCCCACACAACACCATACATAAAATGCTCCCCACGGATCTCTTTAGCCACATCTTTGGTCACTGTCTAAAGCAAAAACTATACTTTCTGAAATAGCTATTGTTTTGCTGTTCTTGCTTTTTCACATCCCTTTTTCCTGTCTAACTCTCCCTCACCTAGCAATAAACACTTTTTTAGGTGTGGTTTAAGATTGATCTTTTTGCTGGGTATGTAGCACATGCCTGTAATCCCAGCCCTTGGGATGTCAAGGCAGGAAAATCAGAATTTGAGGCCAGCCTGAGCTACTTAGTGAGACCCTGTCTCAAAAAAAAAAGAAAATACAACCTATCACTTCCTCTTCTCTCAGCATATATGCATATCATCTATGACATTACATGGCTTTATTAATAAAGCTATATTTTCTTAATATGCCCATAATATATTAATAATATACTTTTTTTCAGTACCAGTGATCAAACTTGGGACCTTGTGAGGCAGGCACTTTTGACATTATATATAGTTTTATTATGTATGAGAAGGAATACTTAATTCATTTTTTTTAACTCCTTGTAGGAAAATATCTGACACATGGTCAGTACCCAGTAAAAGGTTGTTGAATGAATAAATGCACATTTGTTAAAATATCTTTAGATTTGATCTTAATATACAATTTCTCTTTTACAGATATGCAGTAGATGATGTTCCCTTCTCAATCCCCGCCAACTCTGAAATTGCTGACCTTAGTAACATCATCAATAAATTGCTGGAGGCCAAAAATGGTGGGTATATATGCCACAATTTAACAGAAGGCACAGAACCACTAACCACAATAAAATACATTTTTTTGCACTCAATATATGAATCTTGTAGGAGTAAATTTTGTAGGTTATATGCTGAGAGATGTTAAAAAATGAATTTGCTTTTAAGTCAATATGCAAATAAAGAGGCTGTAAATTAAGAATAAAGATTTTAGTATACTATCTGTGACATTAGTGGTAACATAGCCACTGTGATTGTGCTGTGAAAGACTGGGTTATATAGGCATAAAGCAAGCATCTTGGTGCTTAGTCCCTACTTGTTAGTAAAGCATGAGATACAGTATCTGAATTTAAGTGTTATTGTATGTCATAACAAAATGCTAGTTTACTATTGGTACTTCTTTTGTTCAGAATT